AAGGACCTGCGAAGTGGCAGGGAGAGGCAAGCAAGTTACCCCCAGACAAAGCTCAGACAAGTCGTGTCGCTGCCAAGTCTGCGGTGTAGTGCAAGCCACTCCTAGCCTAGCAATAGAGTACAGTGAGCCCAAAGTCTAAGTGTGACTGTAAGCCTCTGTTGAGCTAAACTAGTGAAACTTGCTCGGTAAGCTGTGATCCATAATCAGTACTATCATTCTCGTCTAGTCACGTCCACGCACTCGTCAAGTCAGGTTGCTGATCAGCCCACGTATTCAGTCACATCACGTCACGTCCACGATATACTTCACGTCCGCTGAGCAGTCAACCTACGTGTGGTAAGTAAGGAAACTGTTTCTACTAACTCACTTCACAGATAACAACCTACTCGAGTTCCCCCTCCACAACGAACAACTGTGATAGCCCGGTATTGTCCATACCCGGTGAACCACAGCGGAAAACATTTCTGACCTGACATCAGTGGAGCCCACCGCGAGGGGGAAAACCTATACTTGAGTACACAAAGCTGTGAAGATCTACTGGAAACAGTCTATTGCCACAGCCTAGTTTGCTCAGCCTAGTCAACGACATCACTAAAATCTCACGCCAAGACCAATCCCCACACGAATTCAATTAGGAACGAAGAACCATGGCTACTACAACCGGTATAGCTGGTTTGCCAATGCCTGGGAGCAAGTGTGCTCCTAGGAAATTCAAAGGCAAGTACTCGGAAGTCAAGCCTTTCATCCAACACTACGAACGGATCTGTGCCAAGCTTGGCATAACCAGCGACAAGGACCTAGTGGAGAATCTCGCCCAGTATTGCAGTCGGCGAGTTCGTCAGTTCATTGAGGGTCTGCCATCCCATGAGGCCATTGTGCCTGATTGGGAAGCTCTCAAAACTGATGTACTCAAATACTTTGATGCGGACCGAGACGACAAGAAGTACAAAGTAAGGCATCTGGAAGCATATGTCTTAGAAGCCAGGAAGAAGCCAACCATCAAGACCTTGGGAGCTTGGAGGGAATATACTAGGAATTTCCTGACTATCTCTGGATGGTTAAAGAAGAAGGGTCGCATCTCGGAAGATGAAGAAGCACTCTACTTCTGGAAAGGAATACCTCGCAATTTCCGTCAGACTCTGGAGCCACGCCTGCTTGCCTCTCAGCCAACTCATGACTTATCCAAACCATTCAGTATGGTGGATATAAACAAGAAGGCAGAGGGATTGCTGCAGCGCAACCGATTCGACAGTGACAGACTCCCGTCAGATGATGAGGACGACTCAGATGAGAGTTCGGACTCGGATGATAGTGATGCTGACTCGTCGGATAGCTCTAGTGATGATACCGACAGAGAGGATCACAAGAAGAAGAGCTCTGTGAAGACTAAGAAGCGCAAGCCTACGAGGAAGAAGCACTCGAATAAGAAGGAGGATACCGATGAGGACGAAGAAGCCACCGACCTGAAACGTGCACAAGCTGCTCGTCGCAAAGCCGCACTGGACGAGAAGAAGAAGGCTGGAGAGGTAGAAGAGCTGATTCGCCAAATGAACAGGATGTCGCTGAGCGACCCGGAGTATGGTGTGCTGTACTTTCGGGCTTGCCACTTGAGTGCCCTAGCAGCCTCAGCAGTCAGACCACCTGTTCTAATTAGCTCGTCTACCACCAACTCAAGGCCGCCTGTATCTAATGGATACAGTGGTCAACCAGCCGGTTCACCTCCAAGTCAGCCTACAACAGCCCCGCTTGGCCCAAGACCTCCAATGAAATGCTACGGATGTGGTGGCACCGGGCATGGCATTGGAACATGCGCAGAGATTAACACCTTGATCGCTCAGGGAATAATCACGCGCGATGGATCTGGAAGGCTTGTCATGAAGGATGGCTCACGTATCTTCCGCAACATGGATGAACCCTTCGTGTCAGCCATCCAGAGGCAGACCGTCCCGGCGGCTCACTATGTAACCACAGAGTCGAAGCTTGGGTATTGTACTCATGCAACTCTCGAAGAGTATATGACAGACGATGAGGACACATATGTACACATCACGCAAGACGAGCCCTCTGACGAGTATGCCTTCAACTTCGCTGCAGAACGGGGTACTAAAACTACTCGCAATGCTCGTGACCATGCCACCCAGGGACCAGTCGTACCACCGGTATCTGTTCAGGAGAAGATCAATAAGCCTCGACCAGTCAACAACCCGATCAACCGACGCGATGTACCTCCGCACATGAAGCCGACTACAACGTCACAGCCATCTCCTGACGCAACTCGTGTCTCGGCCCGCTTGCGTGGTGAGAAGGGCCCGCCAATCCCAGATCATACGGGGGACCGCGCACCACCACCAGCAATACGTGAGCAGACACCTCGTGCGCCTGCTCCAGTACCAACCATCCAGCGCCCTGTGGAAGTAACAAGCCGTCAGTTCAACGAAGACGACGATGACGAGATCATGGAAGATCTCTCGCAGCCACACGCACCATTATCGGACAAGGGAAAGGAGAAGGAGGGAAAGGGACGTACTGAGCCGGCGAAGACAGAGCCCCAGAAGCGCGTCCCCCGACAGAGCCAAGTCCAGGCCCAAGTCGATCCGTGGAACGTCCTCGCCAAGGCCCTGAATGCCCCAGTAACTCTGCCAGTGGGCGAGATCTTCGGCATTTCAAAAGAAATGTCAGCTCACCTGCAGGAAGTGTTGAAGCCAAAAGCACCCCCGAAGAATATCGTTGCGGCTGCATTTGGTCCTCGATCGAAAGGGGCCCTCATCTACCTTCGAATGGAAGTGGACGAGAGGCCCGTCACTGCCATCATCGACACCGGATCTCAGCTCAATATCGCTAGTCGCAAACTATGGAAGACGCACCTCAATCGACCGATGGACATCGCCCGCTCGTGTCAGATGAATGACGCGAATGGGGGGGCCGGAGCCCTCCGTGGACTGGTCGAGAACGTGCCCTTGACGTGCGGAAACGTCCGCACGATCGCCAACCTGTACATCGGTGAGCGCGTCCCATTCGACTTGCTGCTCGGACGTCCCTGGCAGCGAGGAAACTACGTCAGCATCGACGAACGAGCAGACGGAACGTACCTCATGTTCAAGAACCAGGACCTCGAGACGCAGCATGAGATCCTCGTCACACCGGACGGATACGACCCGGCTTGGTCATACGAGCCAGCGGTGTGGTACGCCGAGGACGGCGCGAGGACGGACAACCCCGGTCTTGCGTTAGCACCCTCGAAAGTGCTCTCCTGCACTAGTGCAAGGACCCCGACCTACGCTGAAGAATGGTTAGCGGGTAAACGGCTGGGAGTGGACGTACTGTACGATGACCTACCGTCCAGATGGATCGGCCATGCAAGGATGTTCCAGCACCCCAATAGCTAGCTGCACCCTCGGAGACTCCCCCGGAACGACTGAATGTTCCCCGGAATGCACTAGTGGGCCAGGGCATGCCAACGAAGGGGTCCACCGTGGAACCTAGGACAAAAGCATCGTTAGGAGGTGATAGGAAGGGCGGCGACGTACCGAAGTCCTGGAGCCCGACGGCAACCCCGGGAATTGGCCCGACACCCTCGATTGAACGGCTGGGCGCGAGCGTGACGCAGGCCGACCAGGACAAGCCACCTAGTCAGGTGAACGAAGCCGGACGAGACCGCGAGATACGTGCCGTGACGCGTCTACCTCAGGGGTTCACGCAGTCAGTACGCGATGCGCATCGAAATGAGCAAGCAACGAGCGAGACGCACCCGTGTGCTGGTCGCATCCACCAGTGTGCACCGTGCCCTACAACGCGCCTCCGAGCTCACGGACAAGGCGCGTCCGCGAACATCCCTACGCGCATTCCCGCCGCCACTCAACACGACGAAACGGAGGATGGAACGTTAGTGGGAGCCAAGAAACGTGACCGCGACGCACCGAATCAACGGAACGTAGTGGCCACCCCAGAAGCTAACATTGCACCCTCAAGCGAACGCACTGTACGCCTCGCCGACGGCAGCTTTGCGGCACAACCTAGAGAGAAGAGGAGCATAGGAGAAGATAAGCAAGCCGGCGACTTACCTGACCTCGAAGATGCAGCACCACAACTGCACGGGACTACGGACATGCTCGCGCCGCTGATATCGCTCCCGTTCGGAATGGAACGACCTGCGAAAGACGCGTTAGCAAGCCGACCAACGACTGGCACTCACCAAATCAACAGAAACAGTGAGGCGATCTACGCACCTAGTTCCACGCCCTCAAACTCGCAAAGCACCCGTCCCGACCCTATCGAACGTTCTGCGCACGATCCGCCGCTCCACCAAGGCCCCGCCGATGTATTGAAGCGCGTATTTGACGAGTTGGTCACGCTAGCCCGAGAAGGGATAGATCCAGAGGACGAGACAGGAGTGGGAGGGCGTGACCGGAAGAAAGCAAGACGCGTCAATATTGCAGTTGATAGGGACCCGAGGCAGTCAGTGGCACTCAGAAAGAAGAAGACGCGAGCAGAGCAGCGTAGGAAACAGCAAAGCAGGGAGAGGTTGAGAAGCAGAGCCGGCGAATTAGCCAGGAAACGAGCGAGACGACCACAGACGGAAGTGCCGGCGGGAACGCGCGTTTCCGACCGTGCGGAACCGTGCAATCGAGACCCGGACTTAACGGAGTCCACTCGCCCGGGTCACACCACATCCAATTGCGGTCGGGCGCCCGATCCACTAACGCGCGTCGCTCGCTCTCGTGCCACGTCCACTACGCCCGCCGACTCCACCACCCCCGGCTCCGGTCATGAGGGCCACTCCCTCGACCTGTCAAGCGCACGCACCACCGAGATCGGACGAGGAAGGATAGCAGGGGAAGCGGGAGTTAGGCAGGGGAGCAGGGATGCAGGTGAGTACACCTGCTGGCCGTATAAAGGACCCGGGCCACGTACCTTGGACGACCCATCCCCCGCCTCTGGACGGATCCACTCGCCCGCCATGCCGCCTCAGCGTCGCGGACTTCTCGCCAGATACTCGGCGGCCCCGGTCCTCGTTCAGCCGTCCCCCATCCGCTCGGTTCTCTCAGTACCGCCCGACCTGCCGCGCGGGTACCTCCCGCCGCGGGACATCGAACGCATTGTGGACTTCGACAACCACCACGGCCGTGGGCCTAGCGCTGGCTCGATGGTCCTCTCGTCCTCGAACTGTACCATCCAACGCGCCTACAATGAAACCGACGGGGCCCAACGATTGGTCTTCCACTGCCAGAACGGAGCCCTCGCATTCCAGCACGCGAACCAACGCAGCACGGGTGTCGCAAGCTTCACCGGGACCGTCTACGGGGGGAGCCGCGTCGACCGCGCTACCATCCCTTCCTCGCACCCTCACTCTTCTCGAGGCCACCGTCCCCGATCGCAGTCTCAAGCACGAACGGATACCGAAGGCGCAACCTCGCGCGTCCGGATTGCTGGCCGCCCAGGCCCCCATCTTACAGCCATGCGAACCAGAGGAACGCCAATGTAAGTGGCACTCACGCTCGTGAGCCGGACACTCACACTGACCGACCTGGCCAGTACGCGTATGCGGACGCCCTGCGTGCCATTCCCATGCGCCCGGCTCCGTTCTCAGACGCGTGGCGTGCAACGCCCATGCATGTAGAACCACCCCCGGCTGCGCCGATGCACAGCCTGGAGGCCACAGCACGGGCCTTCGATGAGGCCTGGGCTTTCGGTCGGTACGCGGGGCAGCCAGCACGGTTCCCCGCACCCTACAGCGAGACCACGCCCAACACCCTCCGTCCGATCCTTCCCCGCCCCACGACTAGCGACACGCCTCCGACGATCGATCCCCGCCGCGTGCTGAACAGCCTCGGCGTCCAGCACCCTCCGTACTCGACTGGCGCCCCCGCCCCTCAATCGCCACTGCAAGGCATCACCGAACGCACCCGGACCCTGACACTCGTTGACGAAGGCGCGGTCCTGCGCACGGAGGTCGACGCTGCCGACGCTGCGGCAGGCCCTGCGCCCTCGACCTCCTCGGTTGTAGTGCCAGCCCCACCTCCTACCCCGGTCGGGCCAGCTTCCACCTCGCAGCTCAGCCCGGCCGTGCCCATCGCATCCTTGCTCGCGCCTGCGCTCGCCGACAAGACTCGCTCGCCAACACCGTCTCGCCAGGACTCGCCTCAGCTCCAGTACCCTGAGAGCAGCGCTAGCAGCGCCTCGCCGCCACGCCCCTCCTTCGTGCCTGGCATCCGGGCGGCTCAAGCGTCTCCCGCGGACGACATGGACACGGACTCCGACGTCGTCCTCGTGGAACGCTCGGGCCCGTCGTCAACCCTGGCTACTGCCGGGAACACGCCCGATACCTCCGACTCCGAGGGCTTCGAAGGCGTCAACCGGCCAGCGAAGGACCACTTCAGCCCGCCTCCGGAGGCTGAAGAGCTCGACTCGGACACGGTGATCATCAACATCGAAGACCTCCCCAAAGGAAGACCGCGCGTCCCGGTCATCGCGCCGCCTGCGGCCCACTCCCCTACGATGCGCGAGTGCATCGAACGGATTCGCGAGGAATACGAACCCCGGAATGAAGCCCTTACTTCCTCGTACGACACGGACCGAGACGCAGAGACGTCTGCTCAGGTACGTCCGCGTCCGAACATGGCGATCCTGCTTCGGAAGCTGACGTCCGCACTCGAATCCGCTGCACATCCCATGGACAAATACACCTGCGATTACGTTCGCATCGCGCTCGTCAAAACCTACCGTGCCGTCCGCGCTCGTGCTCGCCGTGACTACGCTAAGGGGGCCCTCCACCTCGAGCAGAAGCTGAAGGCCGACCTAAGGCCTCGCCGCCAGACAGCCACACGCGGGCGCAAGCCTGCCAAGGCAAGCGAGTCCTTTCGGGGCAACCAGCTCTTGCACCGGAAGGAGCGCGACGACCTCGGTAAGCTCCGGGACTACTTCGCTCGGTATCGCACTGCTGACTATCAGCGCGGCGGTATTGACGACACCGACACTGTACTCCGACTCATCGACACGGCCCTGGAATTCGACGCGGCCCGCGAATACTCGCTCGTCCTATGCACTCGATGCACGCGCGGCGACTTCGGTGGTCCAGGCGAGTATCCGACCCATCAGTAGGCGCGAGCTCGAGGTCGCATGCACGCTCCTGTACGTCGTAGAGCCACCGCGTGCGCACCCACAAACTAATGTCTGCTCGCAGCCGACTAGCTTGTGGCGAAGATATCTTAGACGACTTCATGTAGGTGATGGCTACTGTTCCTTCGACTCTTACTGTATGAATTTGGTTACGATCTCGTTCTCGATAAGTTCAATTTGCGTTTGTAGCGGCGAGTCCGCCCCTTGTGCTCGATCTTGTACTTCTATGACTTGTCTCTCTACGTTTCGATGTGTTCATGTTTCGGCTGTGTTTTCTTATGATTTGATTCCCGACTGCCTCGTATGTACTCTTCTTACTGTACCGAGCTCCCGACTTCTCGACTCGCCGAGTGTACGATATAGCGTAGAAAACCCCACGAAAAGCACTGAATATACTGGTTATACTCGGTACTTGTATGTGGGCATGCTTGGTGACGACTTGGGTAGTCTCTGGCACCACCAACAGAGAGACTTAGCTGGACAGCTTATGACAAGACCTGGTACTGGGCAAATCAACTCACTCGAATACGAAGCACTCTGTCCTCTCCAACGACTTGCTCACAACCTCGCGACACTCCCCTTCCGAAGCCTGCTCGCGCGCCCAGTTCGGTTGCCACCACTCGACCTAGGAAAAACACAAGCAAGTCAGTGCAGCCCAAGTGTCTCAGGCCCGGAGCTCGGCGGTCCTACCTTCGGGTGTTTCGTAGGACTTATCACACTTAGCGAGACTGCAGAAGATGACTCCGACATAGTCGGGGCGAGAGACTCGACCTCGTTAGCGCGCGCGCTCAATTTGGAAGAAGGCGAAGAGCTACTTTCCTTTTATGGTAGTGATGTCCTCGCTGCTTACAAACGCGTCGACCGACGAGTAAAGCCAGTACCTGGCGTGTTTCCAGAAGATGCACGAGTGGAACGACGGATCCCTGGAGACCCGCTGGCATCTTTAGTGCCACTCCCAGTGCATCCACCCAACTTCACGGCTGGCACACGCCTCAATGAAGAAAACCTCGAAGCAATGGATATCAATCCAAAGGGCTTTCTCTGGCATGAAGAGGAAAAGCTATTCAAGCATATCCTTAAGCTTAACGAGAATGCACTAGCCTTTGAAGAAACACAACGCGGTACTTTCCGAGAAGACTACTTCACACCCTATATTATTCCGGTAGTCCCGCACGAGCCATGGGAATTCGCAAATATTCCCATTCCACCAGGCATTAAGGAGAAAGTCATTGCACTACTCAAGGAGAAGATATCGGCAGGAGTGTATGAGCCTAGCCAATCCTCATATCGCTCAAGATGGTTCTGCGTAGTCAAGAAGAACGGCAAGCTGCGAATTGTCCACGATCTACAGCCCTTGAACAAAGTATCTATTCGAGATGCTGGCCTACCACCCAAAGTGGATGATTTTGTGGAAGATTTTGCTGGTCGCAAGTGCTATACAGTCTTTGATCTGTTCTGGGGATTTGATGCCCGCAAGGTACATCCCATGAGCAGAGATATGACTTCATTCCAGACACCGCTAGGCCTACTTCGAATCACTTCGCTGCCCATGGGATTCACCAACTCCCCAGCAGAATTTCAGAAGTGCATGGCCTTCATCCTACAAGATGAGATCCCTAGCACTGCCAATATTTTCATTGATGACCTGCCTATCCGAGGACCTGCGACGGAGTATCCAGACGAGAACGGAGATCCAGAAGTACTGAAGGAGAACCCGGGAATTCGCCGCTTCATCTGGGAACACGCTCAGGATGTACACCGCATCATGCATCGAGTCGGGCGAGCAGGAGGAACCTTTGCTCCCAATAAGGCTCAAATGTGTCGTCCAGAGGTTGTCATTGTGGGACAAAAGTGTACACCCAAAGGCAGGCTACCAGAAGCCAACAAAGTAGACAAGATCCTTAATTGGCCAACCCTCCGGAATGTACATGACATCCGAGCATTCCTAGGACTATGTGGTACTGTGCGCATATGGATCCACAATTATTCCAAGGTTGCCCGTCCATTGACTCAGCTTCTACATAAAGAAGCCGAGTTTGAATGGACAGACAGCTGCAATGAAGCATTCAATGCTCTCAAAGCAGCTGTAACATCAGCCCCCGCCCTGAGGCCCATTGACTATAGCTCCGACAATCCAGTGGTCCTATCGGTCGACTCCAGCAAGTATGCAGTTGGATTCATTCTGTCGCAATACGATGAAGCTGGACGCAAGCGCCCTGCTCGGTATGGATCCATACCCATGTCAGAGCGGGAGTCTCGCTATTCTCAGCCAAAGTTGGAGTTGTATGGTTTGTATCGAGCCCTACGAGCTTACCGCCTATACCTCACTGGAGTCAAGAACCTGGAGGTAGAGGTAGATGCCAAGTACATCAAGGGAATGCTTAACGAGCCAGACTTGCAACCAAATGCGACCATTAACCGATGGATCCAAGGTGTACTACTGTTCACATTCAAACTTATCCATGTGCCAGCGGAGCGACATCGAGGACCTGATGCCTTGTCAAGACGGCCACTCGGCGAAGGAGAAGAGATAGCTGAAGAAGATGATTCATGGTTGGATGACATTGCCTTGTACACGGAAGTTCGGAATCACCATCGCCTCTTGGGATATGAGCAAGTTCAGGACTACAGGACCTTGCTAAGCCAAAGCCATGCCGATGTATTCATCTCTGCAAATACTAAGGCCGACAAGGTTCTGCATCAGTATCAGAAGTTCCTGACAACTGCTGAAATGCCAGCTCTCCCAACGCAACAAGCCAAGCGCCGATTCATTCGCGGGGCTAGCCGCTACTTCCTCAAGAACGATAAGTTGTACCGCCGAAATGGATCTCAACCACCACGTCTCGTCATTCTCAAAGCCGCAAAGAGAATTGAGATCCTAACTCAATCTCATGAGGGATTGGGCCATCGAGGAGAACAGGCAGTAATGCATACTGTGAAGGAACGGTTCTACTGGCCAAGCATGTGGAATGACATACGACACCATGTTCGTTCCTGCAAGCAGTGCCAAATCCGCAGTGTCCGCAAGGTGGAAGTCCCGCTCATGGTCTCTACACCTGCTACCATATTCGTCAAGTTATACTTGGACATCATGGAAATGCCATTGGCCAGAGGGTTCAAACATATCATTGCTGGGCGAGACGACCTGTCACGGGCTAGTGAGGGACGATCCTTGAAGAACAAGAAGGCCAAGTCAGTGGCAGGGTTCTTCTTTGAGAAGATCCTCTGTCGTTATGGAGCTGTGGGAGAAGTAGTAACAGATAATGGGCCAGAGTTCAAGGAAGCTTTCACACAACTCATGAACCGATACAAGCTGCCACAGATCAAGATCTCCAGTTACAATTCCAAGGCTAATGGAGTGGTTGAGCGAGGTCACTTCATAATCCGTGAATCTATCCTGAAGGCCTGTGACGGAAGAGTGGACAAATGGCCAGACTATGTTCATCATGCTTTCTTCACAGATCGGGTGACTATCAGTCAATCAACTGGTTTCTCCCCATATTACTTGTTGTATGGAGTAGAGCCAGTGTTGCCCTTTGATCTTGCAGAGATGACACTTCTAGTGGATGGATTCCATTCAGGAATGTCCACAGTGGATTTGCTGGGCCTACGGATCCAACAGCTCATGAAGAAGCCGGATGATCTTGCTCGTGCTGCTGCATTGCTGAAGAAGACTCGCCTACGTTCCAAGGAAATCTTTGAACGGCGCTATGAGAAGCGGCTGTACAAGGAAACATTTCAGCCTGGTGAACTAGTTCTTGTACGCAACAAGGCTGTTGAGCAGAGTGCAGATCGCAAGCACCATCCACGGTATCTTGGACCATTTCAGGTGGTACGACGCACCAAGGGAGGATCCTATGTATTGTCGGAGCTAGATGGAGCAGTAGGGAGGAAGGGAATAGCAGCGTTCCGGCTACTTCCATTCATATCTCGAGAACAAGTAGAAGAGCTCAACTGGCTAGATGACGACATGGATTCAAATGACCCAGATCAAGAGGCAACCCAATCAGGATGGGCCACAGAAGACGATGAATTAATGAGTAGTGAGGAAGAAGACAGCAATAGGGAAGACAGTAGTGAAGAGGATAGTGATTCAGAGGATGAAGATGAAGAGTAGAGAATAAGGGTAGGATATGCATGAGATGAGGGCGCAACTGGGGACAGTTGCAATTTCTTGTGCCGACCAGATGTCCTGAGCCAAAACTGTTTGGCTCATGGAACATGGTACTCAAATGGAACATCTTGGTACTGACAGAGTCTATCTTCAGACACTGCACAGCCCCGGAGAAGAGGGACAGACCCCATTTTCTAGGGTTCTCTGCACAGCCAGCTACTCCATGGCCCCAGATTGCACAGCCACAGGCTCCACAAGCTAAATATAGATCTAGGGTCCAAGCACCCAGTACCCTGGATCACTTTGTACCCTAGAAATGAGCCCATGACTAGGTGCACAGCATGCCGACACAGCCCTCGCTGAGCAATCAAGGTCAGTAGAGACCCCGGAAGCGGCCAGAGTGGGCCCGTGGCAGTGTATTGGGGTGCAACGAGTCAGATGAACACACAGCCACCCCAAATGACTCAGCTTGTGGAGAATGACTAAGGGATGACTCAACACATGTAATTAGTATTAGATCAGTGTATTCCTCATGTATATAAGGACCTGCGAAGTGGCAGGGAGAGGCAAGCAAGTTACCCCCAGACAAAGCTCAGACAAGTCGTGTCGCTGCCAAGTCTGCGGTGTAGTGCAAGCCACTCCTAGCCTAGCAATAGAGTACAGTGAGCCCAAAGTCTAAGTGTGACTGTAAGCCTCTGTTGAGCTAAACTAGTGAAACTTGCTCGGTAAGCTGTGATCCATAATCAGTACTATCATTCTCGTCTAGTCACGTCCACGCACTCGTCAAGTCAGGTTGCTGATCAGCCCACGTATTCAGTCACATCACGTCACGTCCACGATATACTTCACGTCCGCTGAGCAGTCAACCTACGTGTGGTAAGTAAGGAAACTGTTTCTACTAACTCACTTCACAGATAACAACCTACTCGAGTTCCCCCTCCACAACGAACAACTGTGATAGCCCGGTATTGTCCATACCCGGTGAACCGCAGCGGAAAACATTTCTGACCTGACAGCGCGTGCCGCGAGACGCCCACTGCCCGAAACAGTCCCACCGCTGTGCTCGCGTCGCCTACCGCGTCCGCAGCCCTGCCCTTCGCCCCCGTCACCTTGCGCCCTCGCCGACGTTACCGTGCCCCGCTCGCCCTCGCCCTCGCCGTGGCCCTGCCTGTGCCGCGAGACGCCCACTGCCCGAAACGGTTCCCACTGCCCAAAGCGTCACCCGTCCCCCGCCACCCGCACTGGCAGCTGCCCGACACCTACGTCCCCCGTCTATCACCAAGAATCGCCTGGGGGTCTAATATAGTCTGCGGCTGAGAGCCACGGTGAGTGAACGTGTTTTCGTGCGTGTTGGATGTTGTCACCTCGTGTCCCCTACATCCCCTAGCGCGCCCGCCACACGTCGCCCCGCAAACCATGTCATCCTCCTGTCGTCCCCGCCACCTCGCGACCTCGCGCCGCTGAATCCTGCCATCCCCGCTGCTTCACGCCACCCTGCCCGCTCGCCCTCGCCTTCCGTCTTCGCCCTGCCACCGTCCCTCCGAGTCGCTCCACCATCCCGCCGCCCTGCCTTTCGATTATCGCTCGTCAGGACATGCCACCGCGCGCGGCGATCGTCAGTCCTGTCCGTCTCCGTATGCGCCCTCACGCGCACGCCACGCCTGTCCCCGTCGCGCGCCAGCTGTCCAACGTGCCCTTGCCCGTGACCTCGCCATTCTTCTGCAGGTTCCCGAGCTCGCTCCAGAACCTCATAACAAGCACAACCTCCCGCCCAAGCCCCGCACCCACAAACACGTCCGCCGCCTCGAGCGTTGCATGCACCCCCGCAGCGACAACCTGCTCATCTTCCTGCCTTCCTGCCCGCCTCGCCTTATCGCTTGCTTACTGGTTGATGCTCATGCTTGCGAACGAGCACTCGAGAACGGTGCACAGACAATATGGAACAGCATAGGTACAGGCAAGGATGCTTGCGAGGTAGCTGAAGCTATGCTTACTCACTGACTTGTACTCTCATATTCGTGTACTGGTAGAATGTACAGCATTGCTTCTAATAGAAGATGTTAGAAACAACTGTTGAATGTGTGACTAGTACTACTCGATAAGTTGAAATGAAAGGTTGATTTTTTGCTTCTGTCTGATACTCACTGTGCATCTGAAGTAACCTGAGTACCCTGAGATATCTGGCACTCTGAGGTTGTCTGAGGCTATCCTATCAGCCCGTCAGATGATCAGGAAGTGCCGGTTTTGCTGATGTTAGCCCTATTCGACACTCCTGCCTACAAGATTTCAGAGTTAGCATCCCATGTTGTTGTTGTGTCAATGGTCGCACTGGCATCGTACCTCGTTGGAACCCTTTGGACGCGATGGCTTGGGCTGAGGCTTCACCACGGGCTCAGCCAGACTGTCCTCGTCATCATCGCTGGTCCCAAATATCTGCATGGTTCAGGATTGAGCCACGGGCGCCGAGTGAGGGGAGAGAAGGCATGAGAACATGCATCGCGTCGTTTTAATGTTGGGTACCCACCTCCGGAGATGGCCGCTTCACCCCGTCGGTGCGAGGTGGGTGATGGTATCATGTGTGAAGATGTCAGCTACAGTACAACCATCTCGTAGGGATCGTGCTTACCCGTTTATGCTGCAACAGTGAAGGGGCGGTGTCAGCAGTGATCGCTTTGCGTAGATGACGTGGCACATATGGCCAACTTACAACTTTCCCGCCAGAGATCTTGGTGGTACCCTGAGGCACCAACTTCGTCGCCGTCTGTGGCGGCGCCGGCGCCTTTGTGGTGGTGCAGACAGATGCATGAGTAACATCGACACGGGTTCATCAATTCGGGAGGTCATACCTGGGCTCTATCATCGGTGATGGGGGTCTGAGCCTTGGCCTTACCACCGCGCGGCTTGCGCGCGACGACTACGAAGTGCTCGTCCACGAAGTGCTCATGTGCCGGGAGCGCAGGAGCAGGCAATCCCTAATAGAAGGATATCAGCTCGTGCACATTGTGTGAATATGGATAGCTTACCTCCGAGGTGTCAGCGCGTGGCATCCCCGTTTGCTCGGAGGGCTTCGTCGGGGCTCTGTTGGCTTCTTTCACGAGTTCGCCGCCAGGGGAGCCGCGCACCTTGGTGAGTTGGCTGGGGCGATCGACCTGCACCTCCAACCATAGTGTCAGCGCGACTGAGAGGACACCAGCTAAGGAGAAGGCTATGTGGCATGTTACCTCAGTGACGTCCTCCCCACGTGGAGAGCCTTCGACGCCGACGACGACGCGGTTCTCTGGCAGGCCAACAGGAGCTGTCACGGATTTGCCCGTAGTACGGCGCTGGGCATGACGGACAATCATTGCCTGTGTCAAGCAGGTCAGTAAACAGGCTTCAGTGGTAGAGACGAAGGTCAACACATACTTGCCAGGCAGGGTCGGGGACGTGTTCGCCATTCGACTCGCTGTCATCGCGCTCGCTGCTTTCATCCTCGTCGGAGCCCAGCTGGCTGTCATCGTCGTCGAGGAAATCGGCCTTGTACTCGGAGTCGTTGTCACTGGAAGCCTTGTCGTCGGTGAGGTTGTCGCGGGACTTGCGGCCAGGTTTCGAGACGAAGGTTGCAGTCTGTGAAGGTTGTGCAGACAGTATGCGTGGGAAATGTTGCTCGAGGAGCGTGACATATAGTACTCACGCCTTGTCTGAGTTGCTGTGCGATCCTCTCCGCCTTGTGCTGGGAGACGCCGGCTTCATGCTCAACATCGAAGTCCTCATCGTCCTCGCGGCCAGCATCTGACTGCACGAAATCGTAATCGGAATCTTGCTCCGGCTCTGACATGCTGACACTTCCCACAGGTTTCTCTGAAAGGTTCGATGTGAATGGATGGATATGATGTGGAGAGAGAGACGGCGTACTCGAGGTGGTGTCGGTGCGATCCATCTCTATATCCTTGTCCATCCCACTAACTTCACGGCCTGCAGAGCCAAACAGCATTGGACTGCTGTACGAGTGCTACTAGTCATATATATTGTACGTACCTTTGCCTCGCATTGGCTCTGGATTGGTGCCAATGGTCTCCTGAGTCCTCGGCAGTGGCAGCCTCGTCTGGTGGTGCCGCACACAGTAGGCATGACAGAGGGTGGTAGGAGTTATGGAGGTGAGCACGTACCATCTGTCTTGGTCACACGCCCTCGCTTGACAGCACTCGCCATGGGGGATGCGGCGACTTCAGATTCTTTGCGTTCGCGCTTCTTGCCACTTGGGAGCCACACTTGATCACGATCAGCACGTTTTCGGGATGAAGTAGACAACACATCCTACCTCTATCCTTGTACGCTTGTGCTTTGGCTGAGCGCGGTTGGGTAACTGGTGCGCCGCGCGGAATAGTCACCATCTCATGTACTTACCATAAGATATCGATCGAAGTTGTACTCACTTGTAGGATTGGCGATCTCCTTCTCGCGCGCTTTCTCGAATGCACCTCGTTCAGCTCGCTCTTGAGTCCTGATCTCTCTGGCCAGCTCTTGCAGCTCAGGGTCGACTTGTCTGGTTGACCGACGTGGACGCGCCTCGCTTGCAGCCTTGCCACCGGTCTCTGGCACTTCAAGGTCGAGCAATATCAGTGAGCACTTACATTCAGCTCACAAACGGGAGCACCTCCATACGTACCTCGAAGGCTAACTTCGGTCTCTGCAGGGGAGTCAACCTTGACCGCCTTCTTCTTCGCACGTCCTTTCTTGCTGGCGGGCGCTGCTGGCATGACCAGTGAGCTGCAGCAAGTAGGGGATGCTGGGAAGAATTACTCCGCAGGCAGAGTGGTGGTGGTGGTGGTTGAGAGGAGAGGAGCAAGGGCTTGGACGTGGCAGCTGGCCTCGTGGATTTTCCAGGGACCAGTTCGGCCGTCGATTTAGGGTGTCGCCGCGTCGGACGACGCCACTGCGGGTTACCAAGCCCACCCCGGTACTCCATTTCTGCCTGCAGATTGCGGCGCCACCTCCCTCACCGCACTCGAGACCGGTGTGCAATCTCTTGGACGTTGCAATTTGCACGTCGTATCCTGCAGCATTGGTTAAGTTCACGCTCACTCTGAGCCTGGTGTACGCTCGCGACTTGGCGCGCACACTGACACTGCTTTGCGACCGTGCCAATGCGCCCCCAAGGCGGGCGTTCTGCCCCACGAGGATGGCGAAACAAATCTCTCGCAAGCCTCTGTCCACCGAGCCCCGCCGCGATCACTGCGCATGCATCACGCACCGTGTGCAATCTGCTACTCATCGTTCTTTTGCCAGCTCTCGCCAATCTATGGCTCTTCCATCTGTCGACTGGCCCAGGTGCCATCCTCAACTCCGAGCGCCTCCCCTCTCTGCGAGCCCTGCCGGTCGGTGCTCACCTGCGACAACAACACAATAATTCGATCGTTTTTGGCTCTGGGCTATCAGACGCAGCATGGGCATTACATTGGGTTTCAGTATACGGTTATCTTGTTCTCTGGGCGATGGCATCTGGTGAGTCCGAGTCCCATGGATTTGTTTTTATTACACGAGGCTCGACTCAAACTGACGACAAACTGCCTTCAACAGCCGCTCTCATTCAACACGATTCGCTGCCTATCACGAGGCTACTCAGAGTTTGGCTAGTCAAAACACGCCGCCACCGAGGTCACTTCGCACAACTTCCGCTTCGCAATCAAAGGCGGATCGCCACGGACTCGACATACACCATTTTCGTTCGCCCCTGTGCCGGGCAGAGTATACCAATAGGTTAGTCTTTGGTTCTTATTATTTTCGTGTGTGTCGTCCCTTTGCTGACATCTGGGGAAGTCGTGTCTGACCGGACCACCGTCACGGATCTCAGGCAGTTGCTTGTCGCCAAAGGAGTGCCTCGTGAACTGGCTCAGTCCGTCAGTCTCGCGCTCCCTCGCAATCCGTTTCGCTATCTAAACGGCACTCAATCAATGCGGGAACTCAGAGTGGGAGCTCTTGCACACGTCTGCATGACTGTCGCCATCCCCGGTGTGTCTTGTCTCTCACTTTTTATCAATTGATGACTCAGTGATCACCAATGCGACTTCGCAGGTGGCTCACACTTCAGCGCGGGCGCGCGCACTTCACACCAATGTCTCGGGTGTGGTGTGACCGGATTTGAACTGCATGCACTGTCGCGTCATGTAGCTCGATCAGCAGATCCTCGATGCCAGGCGAGCGTCACACAGGCGATGGAACTGGCACGCCAACGTGTGCAGGCTCGCCTTGCGCCACCACGCGGTCCGGCAGATCCTGTTGCAGGTCCGTCAAATGCTCGTGATGACGTGCCATCTCATCTGGCGAGAAATGCGAATCACCACGCGAATGAAGGTGTGTAGTGGTACGTCGGCCGTGAGCGCGCTCACTCAATAACTGCATGTCAGGAATGGAGGTCGACGGGCCGGTTGAATACCTCGACCCGGACGGCATGGATGCCCTCGATGGCGCAGATGACGACATTCCAGGGCAACCACTCGACGGGTTCCCGCGGCCACCTTCTCCTTCAGACTCCGAGTCCTCATCTGACGAAGACGAGAGGGACTACGACAACGTCCCTCGGCCACTCAGCCGGCCGCCTTCCCCTCAGGGAAGGCGGTCGCCATCTCCGTCTGCAGGTTCCGATCGCCCGCTCGCCGACGAGGATCAAAGACTCGACAACGATCCAATGCCACCCGCGGAGCCTGACGCCAACGACGATATGGACGTAGACCACGAGCTCCCGGGCATCCAGCCTCAGGATGAAGAATTCCTCTTTCACGACCCATTTGTAGTACCCTTCCGTCGCGAGCGTCGAGGGGATGACGCCGATCACGGTGCTGCCCAGAATCCATTTGCGATGTACGAGGCGGCTTTGGGCGCAGCACCTGATGCAAATGTCTTCGCCCCTTTCGCCTCAGAGATGGACTGGCGCATCGCACAATGGGCCAAGACGCGAGGTCCATCCGCAACTGCATTTAACGAATTGCTCGCCATTGATGGGGTATGACAGCTTGATCTTCCGTCTACGTGCATGGCTTACGACACTGTTCTCAACCGATTAACCAGGTCCTCGATCGCCTAGATACCTCATTCAAGAACACAAAGGAACTCAATAAGCTCATCGATTCCTCCCTCCCTCCCCGGCCGAGCTTTGTTCGTCACGTTCTCGAGGTTGACGGTGAAAAGTATGATTTTTGGCTGCGGGACGCTATGGAGTGCATCCGCGTTCTCTTTGGGTCATCCGATTGGGCGCCCAATATCATCCTCGCGCCCGAGAAACACTACGTTGATCGCACCAAGACCACACGAGTGTATGGCGATATGCACACCGGAGATTGGTGGTGGCGCCTGCAGGTATCCTTCCGTTCACTACGCGCTCGCAGCAGTGCCCCAATGTTAATCAATTCATTGCAGCACAAACTCGAAGCCAAGCAAGCTGGCGCGACGATTATCCCCCTCATCATTTCATCTGACAAGACCCAACTGACCCAATTTCGCAACCGGTCGTGCTACCCTCTTTATCTAACGATCGGTAATATCCCCAAGGAGATTCGTCGTAAATCGAGTAGGCAGGCGCAACTCCTCATAGGCTATCTGCCTGTCACTCGACTCTCTCATATCAAGAGCGAGGAAACTCGGCGCCGGGCGAGTAGCAACCTTTTTCACGCCTGTCTACGCCAGGCCCTCGCACCGACTCGGAAAGCCGGACGCCACGGCACTATGATGACGACTGGCCGCGGTATTGCCCAGCGCTGCCACCCTATCTTCGCCGCCTATGTCGGGGACTACCCCGAGATCGTCCTCGTCACCGGCGTGAAGAATGGTGAATGCCCAGCGGGTGTGGTTGATCCTGAGTCATTGGGCGAGCCTGTCCCTTGTACCCAGCGAGATCTTAACGCAATCTTGTATGCCCTTGACACTCTTGAGCGGACGGGTTCAGCAGCTGCCCACGTCCACGCTTGCCAAGCTGCAGGCATCAAACCCCTGACGGACCCCTTTTGGAAAGGACTCCCCTACGTCAACATCTATGCCTCATTGCCCCCCGACATCCTGCATCAACTCTACCAAGGGATGGTCAAGCACGTCATTCTATGGATCAAGTCAGCCTATGGAGCTCGTGTCATTGACGACCGATTCCAGGCTCTTCCTCCTAATCACAACCTCCGCCACTTCTCGAAGGGGATCTCACATTTGTCCCGCGTCTCTGGAACGGAACATGAAGACATATGTCGTGTCCTACTCGGGACCATCGTCGACCTCCGTTTACCTGGTGGGTATAACCCCACTCGCCTCATCCGCTCCGTCCGCGCTCTCCTGGATTTCGTCTATCTCGCACAACTCCCAGCGCACACCTCAACAACCCTGGGGCAGCTCGACGACGCCCTCGCTCGATTCCACGTGAACAAAGCGGTGTTTGAGGACCTCGGCATTCGCAACCACTTCAATTTCCCCAAGCTGCATTCCCTTCAGCACTACACCTCGGGGATCAAGCTCTTCGGGACCGCCGACGGTACGAACACTTCAGCGTCTGAACACCTCCACATCTCACTCGCGAAGGATCCGTGGCGTAAGTCCAACCGCAAGGACGAGTACCCGCAGATGACCACGACCATTGTTCGCCTCGAACAAATCCACGCTCACGCACTCTACCTGCAATGGCGGCTTGATGGTCGACCTGACATCGCATCCGCCCCATCCCGCATTCCTCATAAGCCCCACCGCCATCTCACGCGCACTCCGACGCGCAATTCTATAGGCTTTTCGACCCTCGAGGCGCGCTATGGTGCTTTCAACTTCGAGCACCTCCTCAAGGAATTTATAGTCCATCACAAGCATCCCGAGTTGTCGGCTCGCGAGCTCGCGGAACACGTCTCAGTGTACGACCTACCTTTCCGCGCCGTATCCGTGTGGCACAAGGTAAAATTTTGGAATCAGGATTCGTTCAGGCGCAGGGATGCACCTGAGACCCTCGATGTGATACACGCACGACCAAACTACCGAGACACCCAAGGTCGAGTCGTCCCAGGAAGATTCGACACTGCCTTGGTCAACGAGAGAGGCGGCGGGCACGTAGGAGTCGACGGTAAGTACTACATTTGTCAGTAAGGGATCCCAGCAACTTACCGATGAATAGGCTACCGCGTCGCCCAGGTTCGTGCGATCTTCTCACTGTCGAAGAAAGCCCATGAGAACGTATTCCATGGTGATCCCACCGCCCCGTCGCAATTCGTCTACCTCGAATGGTTCAGCCGATTCAAGCCACGGCCAGAGCCCAACCATCTATTCTACACTGTCAAACGGCACCGATCGCAAGCAGGTGAACGTGTCGCTGCGATCGTCCCCTTGAAGGACCTCCAGCGGAGCATTCACCTCGTACCGAAGTTCGGGCCTGTCAAGCCGCCGGAATGGACCAGCGACAATGTCCTCGATCTTTGCGAAAACTTCTATGTAAACTCGTTCACCGACAGGCATACATACATAACTGTAGTGTAGTCTCGCGCTTTACCGTACTCACTGCGCTTTGCGCAAGCGCCGGCGCCCGATTGGCCGCCCTCATTAGTGATTCACTGTGCTCTTCCCATCTGGAATAAAAACTTACAACACCATCTGCTTGAATCCCCGAATGCCGACATCATATCAGAAATTCTTACACCATACCTCGAACCCATCCTTCAAGCTACAGAGGGCCCTGGCCCGAGCGCACCTCTCGGCGCTTAATCGGACTTGTGGCCAGCCAGGACGCGACTCGCTCCTCGTCTCTGCGCTCACCACCCCCTGCGGCCATGCCCCTCGCTGCTACATACTCATCTTCCCTCGTCGCTCGGCTTCCATCTTTCTTACTCCAGGATGGGATACTGCCTAGCGTCGTCACCTCACCAATGACTGGGATTCACCCTCGATCTCGCTCCACAAGAGGTGCACTGCCCGACGACTTGCCCCGCACGTTTTGCGACTCGGATGCCCGTCAAACCGCGCGACATTAGGTGAGTGGGAATCACCAAGACAGAACAGCGAGGCTGGAAGTGGCCGGTAGAGAAGGGCGAGAGAGGGTATCGAGCTGAGCTGGCTCGCAGGGCCTCGAGAGACGGACTCTGGTGCGTGTATTGGCCATAGTCCTGCTATGCGATCCTGACTCGTACATTCGCCCAGGCGTCCGTTCGCATGCACGCGCCCCGTCCCTCAGCCATTACCACTGCCCGTGTGAAGATGAAGGACTGAGTTGTTAACCATCTCGGTGTCCTCGTTGCGGTGGCACATCCTCCTCTGGCTTGTTGCGAGACGCATGCTTCGGCTATGCCGGGTGACCGCGTTTGCAGCTCGCCAAGGGAGGCTGTGTCCTGCCATGAGGACACTGACATTGCTATCTCCGGCACCCACATAGGACGGCCGTTTGCGGCCCTGAAGACGATGCGGGAGGCGAAACCAGGCACGGTAAGTAGGTAGCACCCTCGAGTTCTGAAAGATCGCGCCCATCGCCTAGTATGCTGGCCACGCCGTATACCCCCTTTCTCCGACCTCGCCTACGTCGCCCGTTCGCAAGTGCTCACGGCTAAATGGCCCCTGCAGACTCGCGTTGATGTACGCGTTGGGGATCGGCCCGGGTGACGCATCCGCGGTCTGCACGCCAGTTTCTTCGCACGTCGCGAGCGGGAGGCACCAGTTTGGTCTTCCCCTATTATTCCTTTTCATCCTCGTTGTCATTTACTTAGCACTCATATTCCTTTTTATCTTTATAGCTCATATCGTGCTCGGTATCCGCGCCTCGATGCGCAGAACCGGGGCCATCCATTATTTCCATCCTGTCACCCTCGCCGACCTGCCGCCACCCTCGCCGACCTGCCGCCACCGTCGGCGCTCCGCCCGCCCACCGTCTTGCCCCTCCACGTCCCCATTCCGTACCCGCCGCAAGCGCCGGACGAGCCGCTTGAGCACGAGCGCCCAAAACGCAGCCAGCCTCCCTCTGCGCCGCCTCGACCGGCTCTCCCGCACCTGCGGGGCAACACCCGGCACGCTGCCAGCGGCAAGCGTACTGACCACCGCAAGTGCCCGCGGTTCGACCTTTCGCACGGCGACAACACCTTAAACCCCCTGCCCAGCTCGGTACAACCTGCGCCGCGCCCTCCTGGCTCGCGCCTCGGCTCGGCTCGTATCCCCACTGCGGCGCCTCGCGCCCGCGCTCCTGCTCCTCGATCAGCCGCATGAGCAGCTCGGCGTCGTACGGACACAAAGCCCACTCTCGGCCACACCATGGCTCTCGGTGTCAACATGGCCACCCGAGACCAGCTCGCTAGGGCGAAGGAGACCCGCCGCCGTCTCGGGGTCTCGGCGACCACATCGCACGACGAGGCAGTGGTCCACGCCTGCGCCTTCCCCGCTGTCTTGCCAAGCGCGAATGCGGCATCGTCAAGCATCGCCAGGGGCTCGCCCCCTTGGTTGCTACGGCCGGTGACGCTGTTCACAACACGCCTGCCCTGCGCCATGTTGGTATCGTCGCCGTCACACTAACATTGCCCGCGGCGATGCCGGCATCGTCCTCGCAGACCCTGGTCTTTCCATTCTCGTGCACGCCATCCGGGGTCCGCGCGCCATCTTCCAGTGCATGCGCAACCCCATCAATGCCTGCGTCGCCACAATCTACATCCTCGTCTGCCTCGCCACCCTGGCCATGTGTAATCATATTGAAAAAAAAATCGTGTCTGTGTAGGCTACCGCGCGCGATGCAGGTTATAATGTCAATACAGTGCTAGTTGGGCAGTTTAGTGTGAGTCAGTGTGTGCTATGGCTTGCGGCGTCCAGCACGCCAAGTCATGTAATAGTATGTTGATCTGCGAAGTTTTTTGGTAAGTTCTCGCCACTAGCTTTTTCAGACGGTGTTTGCGCCCTGTTCGCACCGATTTGGAAGGCGTTTACATGGGAAGTCGCGCCGGACCGATTTGGCGCCGATTCGCGCCACATTCGCACAGGGGGGTTTCCTGATGTTAGCTCACTCGCTTTCATTAGCATACCCTCATTCTCTCGACGTATCTCCGAGTCGCCTCTCAGAAACCCATTCATCTTGCGGCTTCGACTCTGCTAGTGGTCGTGGCTCCTGTCTGCTGCCAGCTGTGATCTTCCAGCACCCATGCTCTCTGGCTCGCGGACGGACTCTGTCATGGACCCCTCACTAACTCGCTTTTTTCGCCATCTCTGCCTCGCCCAACTGCAATCGTCTTACTGCTCGCCCAGCGCCCGCTCGCCTTTCCCGAGGTCACGCGGCACACCGTCGCTCTCCAATCACTGTCTTCAAGTTCATGCCTTTCCGATCGACTTCGAGTTGGTCTCCAGGCTGAGTACCAGAACCATTCTCTGCTCTGCTTTCGTCCACGCATGTATGAGTATACCCCAGAGTACATCGTGGTGATGTAATATTATGTGCAATGTCAAGCAAATTACCCGGTATGAAAACAAACTGACCGCCGAAATTCTGAGATGATGTGTTTAAGATTACCTCCAGTCGAGTGACTGACTCTGGTATGTCTGACCACTGCTGATGATTGTCTGACCTTTCGACTTCATGTCATAGCCTCGCAGCAGTTGCCCCGCCGGCCGGTATGTTGGCGGCTATGAAATGCGTCGCCAATCGCAAAGTGGTCCCAGAATGGATGGATATCTGCGTGATAGGTATTGAATGCTCAGACTTGTATTATAATCACAGATCGGCCGCCTGCACTTTCGGCGATGTCGTGCTACAGTATACCTATCTACGCCTCAATGCTGAAGTCTCGAAGCACCGCAAACACTTGCTCAAGGCAACCTTCTGTGTGCACCCCAAGACAGGCCGAATTTGCGTTCCCGTCGACCCAAGCGCGATAGATAGCTTCAGGCCCGAGCGCGCGCGTGCCCACGTGAGTCAGCTGCTTCGCGAGCTCGACGAGCTGGCGGCGACACTGCGGAATATCACTTCGGGATATTGATGAGCTGCGGGCTGGTCGGACTGTGCTTGATGGCTACCCACAGATTGGCAGAAACCGTCGATGAAGCCGTACGTTGAGATGCTCGACAGGCACGTCGCTGCGCTCATGGAAGAGGTGAGGCGCGCGAAGCGTGAGCTGGCCCAGGTGCGTCGGCAGGTGATCTCGCAGACCTCTTTCTCATACATTTCTTTCTAGATTGAACGTGGTGAAGCTTGAGACACTCCACGGTTGTAAGTAGTGCTTTGCCAGCACGTTGTGTTTCTCGCCATCGCGCTGTCCGGTCGGGTTTTCCACATATGGATCTGATGTATTTTCATTTGTACCAGTACATGTCCCGTTGCCGCATTATCCGCGCATTCAGAAAACGATTGTCGTCTTGAAACCACAAATCCGAAACTCTCTTATACAACTGCGGTTTGGTTGCAACTACGTCGCTCTCTGAGTGTGGGCCAGACCGCTCATCATGACTTAGATCGGGCGAGACGACCGTGACCCCGTTACTCAATTTTGTACCTGGCTCCCTGGGCCCTGGTCCCTCATGGTGGTAGCTCAGCTACCAGGAAATGATTGTCGACATGATGAGTCTCAGTCTGCACAAGCGGCCTATGTACTACTGACGACTACTAGGGTCAAATGATTCTCGGTCCAGACGATTGAAATCCTACATATAGAGATCATGAGAATGATCGACACTGGCATTCAAGTTGACCGACGACAGTCATAAGTACTGTACCGTACTAGTGCCACCGAGCGTCGCCGGCAACTACACTGACAAGCGACGCTCAGGCTGGACCTTCAAATAAGGACCCAGGATCCGACCCTTAATTCAGAGGCCGGGGCCCTTGGGCCGGGGTGCATGCCAAGTCCTGTATTCACATATAACCGCGCAAGCCCGTCTTTGGAGCTGCGCAAAGACCGCGGGACTACTACTTAGCGCTCTAGAGCCCGGCCGGCGCGGAAGACTGTCACCTAGGACGGTAACTCCGAAGGCTGCGCCCCAGCAGAAACGATTCTGCGACAGACCGGAACGCCAGCGCAGCGCACTGTACGCGCAAGTCGCAGGTAAGCCACCAGTGATGTGCATGACGCATCGGGATTTGATGCTTGTAAGGTTTGTAGAAGCTGTGTATGAAACGCCCCACGTCCCGTTGATTCTCAACATGGGTGCACAGGGTGTAGTATGATATACATAGTACCGATGAACACGAATCGACATCGCTATTCTGACAGGAGTACACCGCAGGCACTGCTATTTGACCATCGAAGTCTGTCCATACATACAAATAGCCACCGAACGTCTCGGACTTGGAGGCGTCAATCTCTCACTGCGGAACCGCTGATGACTCGATCACAGTTAATTGCACAGCAGGCAGACACAAGTTGTCGGATCTGTGACTCGCAGCTGTCATCAGCACCGGCTACTCCGTCGATCACGCTCAGCGATTGGTCCAGCACCATGCAACCTTGTTCGCGAAGGGCCATGTTGCAGAACCACGCCAGCCACGCGCCCCGACTCGGAGTCACAGCTGGTTTAAATACTGAGCGGGGGATGCGTCGCTTCCCCAGTCGACCATCCCTTCGTCAACGTACTAGGACAACTCGACAACAATTCTTGCC